ATCGACCCCCGACTTCATCCATCTCCATCCGTGTACTTTTGTTTATAACCAGACTGAGCCACAAACTAAGCCTTACCCACTAGACATGTGGAAGTACGGTAGTGCTTTGCAACAGAGGCCCGAAGACCGGTCCTTATATGGCCGAGGTGCTACTATCAAAACCATGCACCCCGAGCCCAGCCTAAAACCTTTTTTGGGGATTTTGAATAGAGGGGGCGGTGTGAATCCAATTCCACAATAATCCAACAATTCCAGAGTGTCCAGGTGATATGAATATTCCCAAAGTCTAGAGTTGTAAAACCGCCTAATGTTACCTAATTAAAAGCGAAGCATCTACCTAAAATCATACTAGTGGTACCATGAGTAGAGTGTCCACTAGTTGGGGTTTTGTTTATTCTAGGGTGAACAAGGTAATAATAACAATAACAATAAAAAGGTCATAACAAAGGTAAATAGGCATGGCTAAATAAAACAGTGATAGCGCGGAAATTTAAATAAAACGATAATGCAATAATTTAAATCAACATAATTTTACAAACTGGGATTCAATATGTTCAAAGATGATGTGACTTGCCTTGCTCGCTTTCCCAAACGCCGGCTTCAACTTCCACGAAGAGCGGATCTTCCGAAGCTGCAGCGTCTACATGACCAACGGAAAAGAAAAGGCTTTTACTCTACTAAACTCCATATAACAAGCAGAAACAAAGCACAAAAATGGGTTCTTGACTTCTTAAGGAAAAATTAGAGACTTGAACGGTCCAATTCCGAGTTCAAATGGCCAAGATATGGCCATTTGAAGTTTATATGTTCTTTAAATGGATATTTACGAATTTCTTCATTTAAATTTTAATTTAAAATCGGGTTTATTGCGTCAGCCGAGGGAGGGGCGCGCGGACCGGGTCCACGGGAGTGGGGCCCACGCGGCAGCCTCACGGTCCACGGTGGACCGGGCGCACGCGGCTGACACCGGCCGGCGCCGTGGGTCCCACGCGTCAGCCGCACCGAAGGCGCGGGCGGCTGACGGCCGGGCCCCACCTGGCAGCCGCGGGGCGCGCCCGAAGGCGGCCTCGCCGGCACGGCCGACGGGAGGCGGCGCGCCCGCGCCCCGATGGTCGTCGGCGGCGACCTCCGGCGCGACGGAGCGGCGGCCGAGAGAGGGGAGGGAAGGGGAAAGTGAAACAACGGTCCTCGGCTCACCCCGGGTCGACGGCGACGACGGAAACGGCGACCGAAGCGGAGAGGGGTGGCGGCGCGGCTCGGGTCGACGAGGACGACGGTGCTCCGGCGGTCGGCGGGCGAAACGGAGGAGTGGACGAGGTCGACGAGAACGCGGCGAAGCCGAAGGAAGCGATGCCGAAGCGGGAGGAGGTCCGGGGCGACGACGGCGGCGAACCGGAGCTCGGCGGCGACGGCGGAGAGAGAGGACGACGGCGCGGGCTCGAATCCGACGGGGAGAGAGTGCGGCGAGGGTCGGAAACGGAGGAGGGAGGCACGGGGAGCGTTTATATAGGGTTGGGAGTGAGAGAGGGCGGCCGGAGGAGAAGGAAACCGGCGCGGAAGATCCGGCCGCCATTGATGACGCCGGCGAGGATTTCGGGCGGGATTCCAAACGAATCCGAGGGAGAGAGAGAGGGAAAAGAGAGGGGAAAGAGAGAGGAAATCACGGGGAGTGATTTCCCCCTCTTTAATGCGCGCGGGGACGGCGGGATGCGGCGGATTCGGCGGCGGCGGCGGCGCTAGGGCACGGGCGGGCGGCGCATGCGGCGCGAGGTAGGGGATGACGGGTGGGCCCCACCCGTCAGCGAGGGTGGCGGGCGGGCCCGCCCGTCAGCGGCGCGCGCGCGGGGGAAGGCCGATGGGCCGCGGGGGAGAGGAGAGAGAGGGAGGGAGCTGGGCCGAGCCGGCCCAAGAAGGGAAAAGGGGGGGGGGAAAAGGACTTTTAGGATTTTTCTTTTTATAAAACCTTTTTAACTCTGTTTATTTCTTCTTAATTATTATTTGTGCTCTGAAAATTCCACTAAAATTTATTTACGCATTTTAGGCTTTTAGGAAATATACAAAAATCCACCAAGCGTTGTTTGACTTTTAAATTTGCACTTTTTAATTGTTGGAGGCTTTCACAAGGATTTTAATTATTCTATGCACAATTTCGAGGATGTATTTTAGAGTCGTTTTGGGACGCGACAAAAGTAATCAAGATCAAAAAGGGCTATAACAAACAATAGGTTAATTCCACCCAATGACATTCGAAAATAAATGCAATAGTTGAATAGAAACAATAGCTTTAAATAGGATCAACATGCTCAAAGGGTTGTTTGAGATCTGTGTGACTTGCCTTGCTGGCCTTGGAACTCTTCAAACTCTTCTCCGGCGAAAACGGACTCTCCGGAAACGACGGAATCTAAGCAGAAAAGAGCAAAATCACCAAAACAGCACATAAACAAGTATGAACAGTACATGTGGATATTTTTAATATGTAGATCTCAATTTTAGAAAAATTTAGAGACTTGAACCAACTAAATCGGAGCTAAGATGAATTAGTTATGAATTTTTGAAGATTTAATCGGATTAAAACACTTATTTTGATTTTAATTGAATTATGACGCAATAATGAATTATTTTTGAAAAGGAAAAGGAGGATTATTGCGTCAGCGGGCTAGGGTTTGTGGTGGACCGGGCGCACGGCGGCGGTTCACACGAACGGACGGCCGAGATCGATCGGTCAACGACTGGCTCACGGGAGACGGGGACGATGACGTCGGCGATGACGTCACCACCGGCGGCGGCGGCTCGGCGGCTCGGGCGCGCATGCTCGCCGGCGAACGGCGGCACTTCGGCACGAACGGAGGGCACCAACGGGTAGCGGACGGCACGGCGAACTCACCGGCGACCAAAGCGACGGCGGAAGAGGAACGGATGGTGACGGCGACGAAGAAGAAATGGCGGCGCTCTTCGGCTTGACGACGGCGACAGTGCTCCGGCGATCTTCGGCGGTGGCGAAGGGACGGACGAGGACGGAGACGCGACGGCGACCACGATGATGACCTTCCCGAGCGATGGCGACGGCTGGAGCGACGGCGGCGCACGGCTGGAGCGACGGCGGCGACGGCGGCGCTAGGTCTCACGGCGCTAGGGCGTTTCCGATGGCGAGAGGCGATAGCAAGGGTGGCGGCGGGTAGAGGAGACACCGGGGAAGCTTATAAAGGGGCTAGGAGGCGGCGGCGAAGGCCCACGGCGGCCGGCGACGAGATGGAAACTTCGGGGTTCGGAGGAAAGAGGCCGATCCGAATCGAACTCGATTCCACGAACTTCCAAAACGAATTAGCCGATGTTTCCAAAAGAGAAAAGGTAGAGGAGATCCCGAGGATCATTTCCCCTCTATCAATTCGGCCGGAAACGGAAAGGGGCGGCCGGATTTGGAAAGGAACGTCGGTGGCGCGAAACTAGGGTTTCGGGCGGCGGCGGCCGGAGGTAGACGACGAGCCTGACAGGTGGGACCCACCTGTCAGCGACAGCGCGCTCGCGCGGGCGGCTGCGGCTGCGGACTGGGCCGGCTGGGCCGAGGAGAGAGAGAAGGGTTTTGGGCCGACTTTCGGCCCAAAGCCAAAAGAAGACTTTTTAAAACCTTTTTCAATTTAAATTATTTCTTAAATGCAATTCCATTTATTAAAAATACTTCCTTAGCTCAAATAAATCCCAGAAAAATCTAGGAATTATAAAATTAAGCAAAGTATTTAATGAAATTTTATCTGGCCCCATTTTATATTGGAATTTATTAATTAAAATTAGATCTTCTTTTCTAGGATTTTTTTTAAAATAAATTCTAAAAATTCCATTTAAACAACAATTTATATATTTTGAATTTTTAGGGTGTGACAGCTGGGCGGCTCGAGGAGGACGACGACCCCGACAGGTGGGTCCCGCCTGTTAGCGGCTGAGAGAGAGGAGGGAGGGGCGTGGCGGACTGGGCCGGCTGGGCCAGATGCAAGCAGGCCGAGGAGAGGGAGAGAGAGAGACTTGGGCTGACTTTCGGCCCAAAACCAAAAGAAAGATTTTAAAAACCTTTTTCTATTTAAATTATTCATGAAATGATATTCCATTGATTAAAAATACTTCCTTTGCTCAAATAAATCCCAGAAAAATCTAGGAACTATAGAATCAAGTAAAGTATTTAATGAAATTTTATCTAGCCCACTTTTATATTGAGATTTAACAAATTAAAAATTAGATCTTCTCTTCTAGGCTTTTAAGATCATTTCTAATAATTCCTTTTAGACAACAATTTATAAATTAAGGATTTTTAAACAAGAAAAGCACTTAAAATAATTATAATTAGATCATTAATTGATTAACTAATTACTGAACTGTTCTTTGTATCATTTAGGAATTGAGCTCTGAAAAATCCGAGAAAATTTCAGAGAGTGTAATTAATCATGGAGAATTTAATAAAAATTAAATCCATCCATGCTTTATATTTAGGAAATTTTATTTCCCACATTGAACTTCACTTGTAAATTAAAGAACATTTAATATAAATTCTATTAATAATTTATTAGATAATTTATAAAGCCTAAAACGAAAATTCAGGCTGTGACACTGGTCTTCCTGGGCCTCTTCAGCTCGAACGTGGTTCACTTGCCCGCGTCCAAATCCGGTAGCGGTCCTGTTAGTCTGCGGAGTCCTGAATAGACCTCGTCTAGCAGCAGGGGTAGCAGTCCCGTGAATAGCCGTTGCATTAGCTCCGGTGCGAATGGGTGTCTTGTCTGGATGGGGGCATTTGTTGGCGAAATGCACGTACTCTCCACAGTTGAAATAGCTCCCTGGCCTCACTGATCCAGTAGCGACCTGATTCGGTGCAGGAGCTCGGTTCTGAATGGTTACCGGCCTGTGGAAATTGCTAGATGCGGCAGGACGATTGGTTGTCACCACTGTTGGTTTCCATACTGAGGAGGTTGTTCCTTTAGGACACTGGGGTGCGGCCTGAGGCGGGCGGTTCATGGCACGCCTCCTTTTGCGATTGTGCTCCACAACCTTCCGGTCGTTTTCCAATCTAACGACCTTATTGATTAAACTCTGGAAACTATCGTGGTCCTATCCAATCATGGGCCCACGCAACTCGTCGTTCAGGCCTTCGATGAATTTGTCGATCTTTTCCTCGTCATCGGCAAGATCTCCAGTCGCGTAACGCGCCAGCTGAGTGAAACGGTTCAGGTACTCTTGTATGGTGGTATTTCCTTGCCGTAGTCTCCTGAACTCATTCTTCTTCATTCGCATCACAGCGGCAGGCACGAAGTTGTCATGGAAGGCTGTAGTGAATTCCTCCCGGTTTGGTTCTCCAGCATCTTCTTCTCGGGCTTCTTTATATGTGTCCCACCAGTCTCCGGTTGGTCCTTCCAATTGGTTCGCCACAAAGATCACTTTATCGGCTTCACGTACTCGAACAAGGGTCAGCTTCTTCTCAATGATCCTTAACCAATCCTCAGCATCCATAGGTTCTTCAGCTGTGGCGAACGTGGGTGGCTTAGTCCTCATGAATTCTCCAAAGCTTGATCCTCCACGGTTGCCTTGATTATTTGTGATGGCTTGTAGAAGTTGGGTTTGGGTAGCCATGACTCCGGCCAGGGTGTTTAGGTCGGGTGCTTGAGTTTCTTCATTGCTGGTTGACGCCCTACGTCGGCTTGCCATCTGTGTACGCCGATGAGGTAAGTATCCTATTTTCCTAACTAGCCCTTTTGGTTTTATCTCGTTAAAGGAGTTGTTTTGATTGTGAACTTTATTTTGCAAGCATGGTGGAATAAACTCATTCATAACACAACAGTAATAATATCATAAATAACATCACAGAGTTCCACAGATAGTACATAAATCATGATGCAATCGACTGCACATATACGCAGTCCAAATAAAGTTCATCCAAAAGATACATCAAACTAATCATCAAGCTACTCGTCAATCTAGGTAGCGGGGGTGTGTGTCTCGCATGCTATCCAAAAACCATCTGAAGCGAGATCGAAGCTGCAATAGACCTCCAGTCTAGTCATCCAACCATCCGCAGGATCCTGGGGCAGGTAGAGGGTGGTCGCTGGCACGGGCAAACCCGAGTCCCCACGGCTCGGAAGTAGTGGCCTCTGGATTTGGCTTGGGCTTCTTGCCCGGGGGTCGTGCGCTCTTGCGGGCAGTGCTGAGGGTGCGAGGGCCTCCGATAAAGGTGATGCGGGGGACAGGAGTCTCGTCCTCTAAAGGATCAGTGATGTCCGGCTCTATCTCTGGCTCGGTGTCAGTCCCCTCTGTCTCGGAGTCGACCTGGATCGGAGTCTTCATACTGGAACCCAGCTGCGGTGACGGAGTAGGGATCAGTGGAGTGTGCACAATCTCTGGGGCAGGTGGCTGTGTCACTGTCGGGTCCACCAAGTAAGGTGCTGACTCAGTAGCCAGCATACCAACCTCTCCCAGAAGAGCGTGGAACGCTGGTGGGTACGGCCGGGTGAGGAAGAAGTAGCGGTCACGCCCCACTGCTGTGGAAGTAGAAGCTCCTGTGGTGCTGACTATAGCTGCTTGAAGCTGCTCCTCAAGCTGGCTGACGTGCTCCTAACTCTCTCTCAGCTGCTCCTCGAGTGTATCCATCATCCCGCGGCGATCATTGTACTGATCAGATAGCTGCTGAAACTGGTCACCGTGGACCTGAAGCTGTGCCTTCAGTGAGTCTATCTCACTGCCCCAAGCCTGGTGCTCCTCCTCTAGCTGAAGCTGATGTACTGTGAGGTCAGTCACCTCACTCTCTAACTCTCCCACACGCCTCTGCTGGTCGTCGATCTCTAACAGAGCCTCCTCGTAGAAGTCGTCTACTGCCTCAGCCCATCGGGACAGTAGAGTCACTATCGGGTTGTAGCAGCAAGGTGTGTCCTGAACTGTGCAGACGGAGTTGCTCTCCTCTCGAAACGGGTGGTGAGCAAACTCGGTACTCACTAACTCAGCTCGGTGAATAGAGCTAAGTCGGAGGAAGGCCTCCCGGGCTGCACCCTGCATCGCGGTCTCCGGTAAGTCGCGACGATGGCGTGTCGGAAAGCTGTAGTCTGACTTTGAAGGAACTCGTGTATGAACCTCGACCCAGGCCTCCCAAACGGGTCCACACTGTCGAACTCGGTAGATCGGAAATCTGGGGTACCGTAGGCGCCTCATCAACCGATGTAGCTCAATGACGTATCCCTCTGAGCGGGGTACACCCATCTCCTAGGTAGTGGGTGAATCCTGATCTGCCATCTAATTTTAAGAAAAACCCAAAGTCAGCTAAGAGTAAAACTTGTTTTGTGAAGAAAATAGTTAAGAGTAAGATGAAAATCGTATAGAGTTTTGTAAACATAGCGTTTTTTTATTTTTAAAAGTATTACTAAATGGGAATTTCCCCCTTGGCCAACTAGAAAAGGGGCGGGGCGCCTTTTGGTCTTTTCCTACAGTCGTATGGCTCTGATACCAACTCTGTGGACCCCCGTATTTATAACAGGAATTAATCGACTAGCAAATGCATATGTTTATAAAATAAATGACTGTATTATAAAATATAATATAATATTCTAAATGCCAATGCTAGTCGGAATGACCTTAAAAGACGGCAAATGAAGTGCTCCATCTTTCCAGGATCGCATGAACAGATGCACGAGACAACCCGACAAATTCCTATGAAATTTGAATAGTTAGGCACCATGCGTTAGACAAAAATAATTTATTGGATCAAACAAGATTATACAAGAAAACTTACGAGTTAGCCACCGGATTTGTGACATATATATGGCCCCACAAGTCGATATCCTCAGTCCACCTAGAGCCAGGACATGCCACACGCATGGCTCTGTTGTAATAGTTGGTAACGTTTAACAATTTTTTGGTATATCTCATAGTTGGGTTGTTCTGATACATTGGATTTAGTGGATTAGGGTCTAGTAGATAAAGTGTTCTGCTTTCTTGGTCCAGTATGACCAAGATATAGCTTCCAACAGCACATACTGGTATAAGAATATGGAAAAAGTCAACCGTCAAGATAATATAAAAAAACACATTCAAATAAGAACAAAGGATAGCTAGCTTACCAATTTGCATTTTGCAACTTCATAATGGATTTTCGACCAGCTACCAACCGACCCCGCAAGATCTATATCCTTATGGAACATTGGACTTATACCAAATCCAGTAGCAGTCTATATGATGTACAATAATTGTTTAAAATATGAGCAAAAGAATCAATATTGGGTAGATTATAAAAACTTACCCAAAATTGTAAGTCCAGGCAATGCTTTGTTATTGCTTCGCTGGTTTTGTGAAGCCACTGGACGTTTTCATACATGAACTTGCGTATGGCCATGTTGAAGCAATCACGGTCAAGTGGTCCATCCTTTAGTACTGATTGAAGTGTTTTGAGACTTAATTTTATGGTGTGCGGCCATGAACTTTGCACCCATATATTCCTGTCAATCAATAAAAAAATAAGTTAGTGCATGTTTGAACTATAGGGTAGATACATTATATAGAAGTGGCTTACTCCAAGGTTTCAGCACAATTTATTTGTTGTATGTACTAGAAAAGGCCGCCTATCAACTCCTGTAAACTCATCGTAGAAATGTGGACCCCCGTATTTATAACAGGAATCAATCGTGTAAACGGTACCATTTCCCTGGATCAAGTAGTCTGGTACACACGAGTTCATAGCTGAAATACCAAATGCACATACACGAGAGTCTAGTGCGAATTATTACATCATAAGCCCGCAGGCATAGTCTTAGATCATCGAACCGAGCGGTCCGGAATACATTCCAAAAGCAGAAGTAGATAAGGCAGCGGACTTAAGGCAGCGGCACGCCTTTGCCACAGGCAACGACCGTAACTAAGACCTATTAAGCGCCGTCGTCTTCATCACCCTCCTGGTAGTACGCGTAGGGATCCTCCGAAGCTTCATCTCCGGCCTCTGATTAGGTTTATATATTGCAAGGCTGAGTACCAACCGTACTCCGCAAGCCACCACAGCAACAATGCACATGATAGGGGTATTTCAAAGGATGGCTATGGTTCTTTTGCGCAAAGCAAGTTTTGTAATTCTTTTCACAAGCCTAAGACCTAGCATTGACTGATCAAATTTTAGTACCAGTGTTCACATTTGAATAACGACGGTTCTGTCCACCATCCATTGTGATCTCAAGGATAGATTCCCGCCATTGAGTCGTCATGGTTTTCTGAGGACGTCCACCTTCCCGCCTCTCAGGAAGTGGCTCCAACAACATAAAAATCATAATGCAATAACCCATCCCATACAAGTTAAGAATTCAGAGTCTAGCCAAGTGTAATACACGTCCCGGTGCTCAATAACCGCGAGCACGGCTATTCGAATAGATTTAGTTTACTCACACTGCAGTGGATGTATAATTTACCCGCACTCCGTGACTACCCAACACATGAGCCTCGTCCCAACACATGAGACGCGTCACGGCAAAGCTTTTCGATAACCTCGCATTGGCAGTACCTGTCACGCCCGGAATTTCTATCCAAAATTCCAAACGCTTACATGTGTGTGAACCCTCCTCTAGGAATCAGCCGAGGCACACAATAACAAATTGATAATAGAGTACAATTATTACTCTAATTAATAAGCGAATCAAATGTCATTACAGAGGTAGATAGTTCCTCTCATTCAATAAAGATCTAAGCAATGGAAAATAAGATAAATGGCGCAGACGGCTCCACTCCACAGGCAGCTTGACCAAGGCTACACCTAATCCTCCACACCATCAGCTTCACTGTAGAACTCTTCCTCTGATGAATCATTGCAAGGTGAGTATATGACATACTCAGCAAGCCACGCAGCAAATATGCAAGTGCACAGGATAACAAAGGATGGCATAGTATAGGGCTCATTTGCAAAAGCAGCATTTAGCAAACATTTGAGAATTTAATAAAACAGTTAAGTAATTAAACAATATTAATCCAACGCTATACAACATACCCTGTTGTATAGGCCCAACCATTCTGAACAACCATCCCGGCTGCACAGTTCTATCTCCAAACCAGGAATATACCATTCCAAACCAGGAGCTAATCAAATTATTACCAGTTATAGCATCTTCTATTATGGTGAGAAGGGTGAGACTAATCACGAAAGACATTGTTAGACCCGCCCATAACCGCGGGCACGGCTATTCGAATAGTTTTACTCTGATCAGAGGTGTACCACTGTACCCACAAGACACAACCCCACATCATGTCACCATGTGCCTCAATACCACCACGGTACCTCGGAAAGGAGTTGTGACAATACCCCTTGCATAACACAATCCATTACAGCGCACCTTTCCTGGATCATAATCACCCCCTTATAATCAAGGCATGGACTCCCCAGCGACCCCCGTGGGCTTATCTCCGCCACTTCTCAGTCTGGTGCCCCGCAATGAACCATGCTATACAAAAGGTAAAGCCGTTGCCCATGCTGGCGTGTGGCTGGCACGGTTAATGTTTCACAACCGAAACTCGTGAACCGGTCCTTAATTGTCATGAGCACGACCATCAAAACCATGTGCTCACAACCCACCATTATCAGGTTTTAGTTGGCACATTAATTAATTAACCAATCACGATTGACCATCGTGAATTATCATTAAGCCATCATTAAATAACAGTGAGTCATAAGTTATCCCAATAGTGTGCTAATGTTTCTAAGGAGGGCTAAGCAATTATATCTAATATCTAGTTGAACCAATAAATAAAGCTCAACTAGTCAAGTTATAACAACCCAAGGTATCAAGGAATAAGGTAAACAAGAACCAAAAGGGCTATAACAAACAATAGGTTAATTCCGCCCAATGACATTCGAAAATAAATGCAATAGTTGAATAGAAACAATAGCTTTAAATAGGATCAACATGCTCAAAGGGTTGTTTGGGATCTGTGTGACTTGCCTTGCTGGCCTTGGAACTCTTCAAACTCTTCTCCGACGAAAACGGACTCTCCGGAAACGACGGAATCTAAGCAGAAAGAAGCAAAATCACCAAAACAGCACATAAACAAGCATGAACAGTACATGTGGATATTTTTAATATGTAGATCTCAATTTTAGAAAAATTTAGAGACTTGAACCAACTAAATCGGAGCTAAGATGAATTAGTTATGAATTTTTGAAGATTTAATCGGATTAAAACACTTAAATTGATTTTAATTGAATTATGACGCAATAATGAATTATTTTTGAAAAGGAAAAAAGGGATTTATTGCGTCAGCGGGCTAGGGTTTCGGTGGACCGGGCGCACGGGCGACGGTTCACGCGAACGGACGGCCGAGATCAACCCATCCAAAACGGACGGCCGAGATCGATCGGGTCCACGGCGGCTCACGGCAGACGGCCACGATGACGTCAGCGGTGACGTCACCACCGGCGGCGGCGGCTCGGCGGCTCGGACGGCGCACGCTCGCCGGTGAACGGCGGCGCTTCGGCACGAACGGAGGGCACCAACGGGTAGAGCGCGACGCGGTGAACTCACCGGTGACCAAAAGAGCGGCGGAAGATCAACGGATGGCGACGGCGACGACGAAGAAACGGCGGCGGTCTTCTGGTCGACGGCGGCGATGGTGCTCCGGCGATCTTCGGCGACGGCGAAGGGGCGAACGAGGACGGCGACGACTTGGCGACCACGACGACGGTCTTCCCGAGCGACGGCGACGGCTGGAGCGACGGCGGCGCACGGCTGGAGCGACGGTGACGACGGCGGCGCTAGGGCACACGGCGCTAGAGCGTTTCCGACGACGAGAGGCGAAGGCGAGGGTGGCGGCGGGTAGATGAGACACCGGGGGTCCTTTTAAAGGGGCTAGGAGGCGGCGGCGAAGGCCCACGGCGGCCGGCGACGAGAAGGAAAGCTCGAGCTCGGAGAGAGAAAAGCCGATCCGATTCGAACTCGAATCCATCGATTACCAAACCGATTTAGCCGAAGTTTCCAAAGGAGAAAAGGTAGAGGAGATCTCGAGGATCATTTCCCCTCTTTTGATTCGGCCGGAGAAGGAAAGGAGCGGCCGAATTTGGAAGGGAACGGCGGCGGCGGCGAGCTAGGGTTCGGCCGGGCGACGGCGGCTCGGGGAAGACGAACCTGACAGGCGGGACCCACCTGTCAGCGACAGCGAGGGCGCGCGCGGCTGCGGCGGACTGGGCCGGTTGGGCCGAGGAGAGAGAGAGAGGGGTTTTGGGCCGACTTTCGGCCCAAAGCCAAAAGAAGACTTTTTAAAACCTTTTTCAATTTAAATTATTTCTTAAATGCAATTCCATTTATTAAAAATACTTCCTTAGCTCAAATAAATCCCAGAAAAATCTAGGAATTATAGAATTAAGCAAAGTATTTAATGAAATTTTATCTGGCCCCATTTTATATTGGAATTTATTAATTAAAAATTAGATCTTATCTTCAAGACTTTTAAAATTATTTCTAAAAATTCCATTTAAACAACAATTTATATATTTTGAATTTTTAGGGTGTGACAAACCTACCCCCCTTAAACAGAATCTCGTCCTTGAGATTCGGAAGAACTGGCGAACAGATGCGGATGAGCTGACTTCAATTCATCTTCTCGTTCCCAAGTTGATTCTTCTTCCGAGTGATTACTCCACTGGACTTTGCAAAAACGGATAACTCGATTTCTGGTTCTTCTCTCATCTATTTCCAAAATACGGATTGGTTTCTCAACATAGGTCAGATCCTCTTGGACTTCTATCTGTTCAAGATTAGCTTCTTCGGTAGGTACCCTTAAACACTTCTTCAATTGCGACACATGGAACACATTATGGACTCCTGCCAAAGATTGAGGTAACTCCAACTGATAAGCAACCTCTCCTCTTCTACTGACAATCTTATAAGGTCCCACAAAACGCGGTGCCAATTTTCCTTTGGTGTGAAAACGATGAACTCCTCGAAGAGGCGTGTCACGCCCGGAATTTCACTAGTAATTTCCGAACTTATTTGTGCATAAAATCCTCGTCCAGGAATCAGCCGAGGTACACAAACTGACAATTTAATATACAGATTCATCAAATTAATTACAATGATAAATACTTACTTAAGAGGCACTTAGTCCTCACCATGAAGAAAACTGCAGCGGAAAATAAAATCTAGCGAAGCTCCGGCTCCACTCCCACAGGCAGCTCAACTGGGGTATAAGCCAAACGTCTTCTCCTTCTGGATCCTTTTTCTTCAACTGAGGTTGATTGATTATTGCAAGGTGAGCATATGACATACTCAGCAAGCCACACAGCAAATATGCAAGTGCACAAGGATACCAAAGGATGGCATAATATAGGCTCATTTGCAAAAGCAGCGTTTAGCAAAATATTTAAGAGAAATAAAACAGTAGAGTAGTTAATCAGAAATTTTAATCAACACTGAACAGCACACCCATGCTGCACAGGCCCGACCATCCTGAACAACCATACCCGGCTGTACAGATCTAATCTCCAAACCAGGAATTTTCCATTCCAAACCAGGAGCTAAGCAAATTATTACCAGTTATAACATCCATAATTATTGTGAGAGGTGTGAGACTAATCACGAAAAACATTGCTCAACTCGCCCATAACCGCGGGCACGGCTATTCGAATAGTTTTACTCTGGCCAGAGGTGTACCACTGTACCCACAAGACACGGCCTCAACATCATGTCTACCATGTGTCGCGATACTGGAAAGTACCCGAATAGAGGCTGTGACAATACCCTTTGCACAACACAACTCACCACAGTGCACCATTCCTGGATCATAATCACCCCCTTATAAAACAAGGCATGGACTCCCCAGCGACCCCCGTGGGCTTATCTCCGCCACTTCTCAGTCTGGTGCTCCGCAATGAATCATGTTATACAAAAGATAAAGCCGTTGCCCACGCTGGCTTGTGGTTGGCACGGTTAATGTTTCACAATAGTAGCTCGTGAACCGGTCCTTAATTGTCATGAGCACGACTCTCAAAACCATGTGCTCACAACCCACCATTATCAAGTTTTAGTTGGCAAGTAATTAATTAACCAATCACGATTGACCATCGTGAGCTACCATTAAATATAACCATAAGTGATAGTGAAACATTAGTTATCCCAATTGTGTGCTAATGTTTCTAAGCATGGGTAAGCAATCATATCTAATATCTAGCTGATCCAATATATATAGCTCAACTAGTCAAGTTATAATAACCCAAGGTATCAAGGAATAAAATAATCAATGCAAATTGGCCATAACAAAGGAATAAGTTCACACCACCCAGTGACATTCGAAAATAAATGCACAGTTGAAATAAATATAGAATTTAAATATAGGATCAACATGCTCAAAGGATTGTGTTTAGGATCTGTGTGACTTGCCTTGCAATAATCGGTCTTCAATTAATCTTCTTGAACACTTCCGACGCACTCGCGAACCTTCACAATGACGGAAACGATAAGCTAACACGCAAAACAAGGAAAAGACTAATAAAAACCAAATAAACAATACATAAAAAGTAAACAAACATGTAGATCATAATTTTAGATGAATTATAAGACTTGAACGGCCTCATTCTGACTTCATATGAATTTATTATGAATTTTACAAGATTAAATCTATTTAAAGCCCATTTAAAAAGAATTAAATAAATTTAATTCAATTTATGGACAATTTTAATATGTAGATCTTTATTTTATATAACTTTTGCAACTTGAACCACAAAAAACTGAGTTCAAATGAATTAGCTATGAATTTTTAAAGATTAAATCGGATTAAAACACTTATATGGATTTTAATTGAATTATGACGCAATAATGAATTATTTTTGAAAAGGAAAAGGAGGATTATTGCGTCAGCGGCTAGGGTTTGCGGTGGACCGGGTGCACGGCAACGGTTCACGGAAACGAACGGCCGAGATCAACCCTATCCAAAACGGACGGCCGAGATCGATCGGTCCACGACCGGCTCACGGGAGACGGGGACGATGACGTCAGCGATGACGTCACCACCGGCGGCGACTCGGGCGCGCATGCTCGCCGGCGAACGACGGCGCGGCGACGCGAACGGAGGGCACCAACGGGTAGAGGGCGACGCGGCGAACTCACCGGTGACCAAAACAACGGCGGAAGGGCAACGGACGGCGCCGGCGATGAGGAAGAAGCGGCGGCGGAGATCGGGTCAACGGCGGCGACGGGGCTCCGGCGGTCTTCGGCGGCGGCGAAGGAGCGGACGAGGACGGCGGCGACTTGACGACCACGATGACGACCTTCCCGAGCAACGACGACGGCTGAAACGGCGGCGGCGCACGGCTGGAGCGACAGCGGCGACGGCGGCGCTAGGTCTCATGGCGCTAGGGCGCTACGGACGACGAGAGGCGAAGGCGAAGGTGGCGACGGGTAGAGGAGACACCGGGGAGCCTTTTAAAGCGACTAGGAGGCGGCGGCAAAGGCCCACGGCGGCCGGCGACGAGATGGAAACTTCGGGGTTCGGAGGAAAGAGGCCGATCCGAATCGAACTCGATTCCACGAACTTCCAAAACAAATTAGCCGATGTTTCCAAAAGAGAAAAGGTAGAGGAGATCCCGAGGATCATTTCCCCTCTATCAATTCGACCGGAGAAGGAAAGACGCGGCCGAATTGGAAAGCGGCGGCGGAGTGGCTCGGCTAGTGTTTCGGGCGGCAGCGGCGCGACGAAGACGACGACCCTGACAAGTGGGGCCCACCTGTCAGCGGCTGAGAGAGAGAGGAGAGCAGCGGCTCGGCGGACTGGGCCGACTGGGCCGACTGGGCCGGGGAGGGAGAGAGAAAGAGAGGTTTTGGGCCGGCTTTCGGCCCAAAGCCAAAAGAAGACTTTTAAAACCTTTTTCAATTTAAATTATTCATGAAATGCAATTCCATTTATTAAAAATACTTCCTTAGCTCAAATAAATCCCAGAAAAATCTAAGAATTATAGAATTAAGCAAAGTATTTAACAAAATTTTATCTAGCCCAATTTTATATTGAGATTTAGCAAATTAAAATTAGATCTTCTCTTCCAGGCTTTTAAAATCATTTCTAATTATTCCTTTTAAACAACAATTTATAATTTAAGGATTTTAAACAAGAAAAGCACTTAACAAAAATAATTAGATCATTAATGATCAAATAATTACTGAACTGTTCTTTGTATCATTTAGGAATTGAGCTCTGAAAAATCCGAGAAAATTTCAGAGAGTATAATTAACCATGGAGAATTTAACAAAAATTAAATCCATCCATGCTTTATATTTAGGATATTTTATTTCCCACATTTAACTTCACTTGTAAATTAAAGAACACTTAATATAAATTCTACTATTAATTTATTAAATAATTTATAAATCCTGAAACGAAAATCAGGATGTGACAAACTACCCCCCTTACAAAGAATCTCGTCCCGAGATTCGGAACAGCTAGAAAGAAAAAGGGAATAGGCAAACTGCAGTCTATCTTATTCCATAACTCCGATAATCATTCTAAGGCTTTAAAGAAAACTACTGCTGCTTTGAAACTGGTGGCTGAGTTGTAACACTTGAAGACACAACTCTTGAAGACGCAACTGGCACTGCATTGGCTCCTGTGACGACAATGTTGTTAGCAATCTTGTCCGCGTGGTAGACATGGTTAGCAATCATCTTGATTGATATGAAACATGGTTATCTCTGGTCGCAGGAATCTCAGCACACGACATGTTGTTGACCTGACCTTGCGGCCGCTGATGCTTCGGCTTCGGACACTCTCTTGCAAAGTGGCCTGGCTTGTAACAGTTGAAACATACCTGCTGCTCCCGTCCACTACTGTTATTCTCTTGAGACTGATCCTGCTGAACTGGCACCAGCTGATTAGCTTGCTCGATGTTAACTTCATTGCTTTCATTAGTCTCTGTTTTGATCTCACCACCGATATTCAACTGTTGCGACTGTCCTTGACCAGCAGAAGAAGATTCACCAATTTGGAGTTGCTTGATACGCTGCCTCTGGCTACTACCTTGTGCCTCCTGGAAAACAGTCATTTTCCTTTTACGGTTATCCATCCTGTTCTTCTTGTCTTCAAGTCGAATTGCTTTGTCAACCAACTGCTGAAAATCAGCATAGTCATGAGAGATCAACGTAACTGACAGTTCATCCTTTAAACCTTCCAAGAACTTCTCCTGCCTTTCCTCGTCAGTACGCACATCTTCTGGAGCATAACGTGCCAGACGATTGAACTCATGAAGATACTCTGCCACGGTTTGATCCTTTTGCTTCAATGCCCTGAACTCACGCTTCTTCAAAGAAACAACTCCTGTAGGTATGTGTGTCTTCTTGAATGCTTCCGTGAAGTCCGCCCAAGTGATTGGTTGTCCTTCTGCTCTGTTCATTCGGAAATGATCCCACCATTCTGATGCAGGTCCTTGCAACTGATGTGAAGCGAAAACAACTTTCTCCTGATCCGTGCACTGGAGCAGTTCCAACTTCTTCTCAATAGCGTGTAGCCAATCGCCTGCTTCCACTGGGTTGGTAGTGCTAGAAAAGGTAGGTGGCCTCACACGAAGAAAATCAGCTAACTTGTTCTGCGGCGGTGGAGCATTGTTGTTCCATTGGTTGAGCTGGTTCTGCATCTGCTGTATCATCATGTTCATTAACTGAGTCTGTTGAGCCAGAACTTGAGCAAGAGTTGGGTTCCCTTCATTGTTATTGTTTCCACTTCCACTGGCGCGAGTGTTCACCATCTATTGCAAATTAGAGAAGATAGAAGGAGAGGGGTTACACTAAAGACAAGACCTTAACTAGGTTAACACTGATCTGATGTGTGTAGACCATTATATTGTTTAAGTTGATTAAGCAAGCAACCTAGTATAGTTACACACTCATCATTGAACCACACCAATGACGGGAATGCAACCATACCTACACACAAGCAAGCAACAAACGTTCTATCCTACTGACTATTCTTCAAGGATAGTTTGGCGGCATAGGTTCTAAGGTAGGATGCAAACTTCATTCCATCTTGACCACTTGGCACTTCGGTCCTTCCTCGATCCACTTGACTGACCTCCATAAGTTGACCACATCAATGTCTTCTAGTTTCCACAACTAGTTTTAGAACTACTCAAGTTGAACGAGAGAGGAGAGTAGACAATGAAACAATTTGCAAAGAATTCTAGATAAGGAAGAAAGGAGAAATTTTCACAAATCCTTTTTGTCGGAAAAATAGTCCTTAAGGTTTGACCATTTGGCTTATCCTACAGTCGAGATGGCTCTGATACCAACTTGTCACGCCCGAAATTTCACTAGTAATTTCCGAACTTATTTGTGCATAAAATCCTCGTCCAGGAATCAGCCGAGGTACACAAACTGACAATTTAATATACAGATTCATCAAATTAATTACAACGATAAATACTTACTTAAGAGGCACTTAGTCCTCACCATGAAGAAAACTGCAGCGGAAAATAAAATCTAGCGAAGCTCCGGCTCCACTCCCACAGGCAGCTCAACTGGGGTATAAGCCAAACGTCTTCTCCTTCTGGATCCTTTTTCTTCAACTAAGGTTGATTGATTATTGCAAGGTGAGCATATGACATACTCAGCAAGCCACACAGCAAATATGCAAGTGCACAAGGATACCAAAGGATGGCATAATATAGGCTCATTTGCAAAAGCAGCGTTTAGCAAAATATTTAAGAGAAATAAAACAGTAGAGTAGTTAATCAGAAATTTTAATCAACACTGAACAGCACACCCATGCTGCACAGGCCCGACCATCCTGAACAACCATACCCGGCTGTACAGATCTAATCTCCAAACCAGGAATTTTCCATTCCAAACCAGGAGCTAAGCAAATTATTACCAGTTATAACATCCATAATTATTGTGAGAGGTGTGAGACTAATCACGAAAAACATTGCTCAACTCGCCCATAACCGCGGGCACGGCTATTCGAATAGTTTTACTCTGGCCAGAGGTGTACCACTGTACCCACAAGACACGGCCTCAACATCATGTCTACCATGCGTCGCGATACTGGAAAGTACCCGAATAGAGGCTGTGACAATACCCTTTGCACAACACAACTCACCACAGTGCACCATTCCTGGATCATAATCACCCCCTTATAAAACAAGGCATGGACTCCCCAGCGACCCCCGTGGGCTTATCTCCGCCACTTCTCAGTCTGGTGCTCCGCAATGAATCATGTTATACAAAAGATAAAGCCGTTGCCCACGCTGGCTTGTGGTTGGCACGGTTAATGTTTCACAATAGTAGCTCGCGAACCGGTCCTTAATTGTCATGAGCACGACTCTCAAAACCATGTGCTCACAACCCACCATTATCAAGTTTTAGTTGGCAAGTAATTAATTAACCAATCACGATTGACCATCGTGACCTACCATTAAATATAACCATAAGTGATAGTGAAACATTAGTTATCCCAATTGTGTGCTAATGTTTCTAAGCATGGCTAAGCAATCATATCTAATATCTAGCTGAACCAATATATATAGCTCAACTAGTCAAGTTATAATAACCCAAGGTATCAAGGAATAAAATAATCAATGCAAATTGGCCATAACAAAGGAATAAGTTCACACCACCCAGTGACATTCGAAAATAAATACACAGTTGAAATAAATATAGAATTTAAATATAGGATCAACATGCTCAAAGGATTGTGTTTAGGATCTGTGTGACTTGCCTTGCAATAATCGGTCTTCAATTAATCTTCTTGAACACTTCCGACGCACTCGCGAACCTTCACAACGACGGAAACGACAAGCTAACACGCAAAACAAGGAAAAGACTAATAAAAACCAAATAAACAATACATAAAAAGTAAACAAACATGTAGATCATAATTTTAGATAAATTATGAGACTTGAACGGCCTCATTCTGACTTCATATGAATTTATTATGAATTTTACAAGATTAAATCTATTTAAAGCCCATTTAAAAAGAATTAAATAAATTTAATTCAATTTATGGACAATTTTAATATGTAGATCTTTATTTTATATAACTTTTGCAACTTGAACCACAAAAAACTGAGTTCAAATGAATTAGTTATGAATTTTTAAAGATTAAATCGGATTAAAACACTTATATGGATTTTAATTGAATTATGACGCAATAATGAATTATTTTTGAAAAGGAAAAGGAGGATTATTGCGTCAGCGGCTAGGGTTTGCGGTGGACCGGGTGCACGGCAACGGTTCACGGAAACGAACGGCCGAGATCAACCCTATCCAAAACGGACGGCCGAGATCGATCGGTCCACGACCGGCTCACGGGAGACGGGGAAGATGACGTCAGCGATGACGTCACCACCGGCGGCGACTCGGGCGGCTCGGGCGCGCATGCTCGCCGGCGAACGACGGCGCGGCGACGCGAACGGAGGGCACCAACGGGTAGAGGGCGACGCGGCGAACTCACCGGTGACCAAAACAACGGCGGAAAGGCAACGGACGGCGCCGGCGACGAGGAAGAAGCGGCGGCGGAGATCGGGTCAACGGCGGCGACGGTGCTCCGGCGGTCTTCGGCGGCGGCGAAGGAGCGGACGAGGACGGCGGCGACTTGACGACCACGATGACGACCTTCCCGAGCGACGACGACGGCTGAAACGGCGGCGGCGCACGGCTGGAGCGACGGCGGCGACGGCGGCGCTAGGTCTCACGGCGCTAGGGCGCTACGGACGACGAGAGGCGAAGGCGAAGGTGGCGACGGGTAGAGGAGACACCGGGGAGCCTTTTAAAGGGACTAGGAGGCGGCGGCAAAGGCCCACGGCGGCCGGCGACGAGATGGAAACTTCGGGGTTCGGAGGAAAGAGGCCGATCCGAATCGAACTCGATTCCACGAACTTCCAAAACGAATTAGCCGATGTTTCCAAAAGAGAAAAGGTAGAGGAGATCCCGAGGATCATTTCCCCTCTATCAATTTGACCGGAGAAGGAAAGACGCGGCCGAATTGGAAAGCGGCGGCGGAGAGGCTCGGCTAGGGTTTCGGGCGGCGGCGGCGCGACGAAGACGACGACCCTGACAAGTGGGGCCTACCTGTCAGCGGCTGAGAGAGAGAGGAGAGCAGCGGCTCGGCGGACTGGGCCGACTGGGCCGACTGGGCCGGGGAGGGAGAGAGAAAGAGAGGTTTTGGGCCGGCTTTCGGCCCAAAGCCAAAAGAAGACTTTTAAAACCTTTTTCAATTTAAATTATTCATGAAATGCAATTCCATTTATTAAAAATACTTCCTTAGCTCAAATAAATCCCAGAAAAATCTAGGAATTATAGAATTAAGCAAAGTATTTAACAAAATTTTATCTAGCCCAATTTTATATTGAGATTTAGCAAATTAAAATTAGATCTTCTCTTCCAGGCTTTTAAAATCATTTCTAATTATTCCTTTTAAACAACAATTTATAATTTAAGGATTTTAAACAAGAAAAGCACTTAACAAAAATAATTAGATCATTAATGATCAAATAATTACTGAACTGTTCTTTGTATCATTTAGGAATTGAGCTCTGAAAAATCCGAGAAAATTTCAGAGAGTATAATTAACCATGGAGAATTTAACAAAAATTAAATCCATCCATGCTTTATATTTAGGAAATTTTATTTCCCACATTTAACTTCACTTGTAAATTAAAGAACACTTAATATAAATTCTATTATTAATTTATTAAATAATTTATAAATCCTGAAACGAAAATCAGGATGTGACAAGGCGTGACACGAAGATACACATAATCTCCTTCTTCAAAACTCAAATCTCTGCGGCGATTGTCGGCATAACTCTTATGACGAGACTGGGCCACACGCAATCTTTCTTGAATGATTTTCACCTTTTCTTCTGCTTCCCTTAGGATATCCGTCCCAAAAACCTGACGTTCTCCCGTTTGATCCCACAAAAGCGGAGTGCGGCACTTCCGACCATACAGTGCTTCGTAAGGAGCCATCTGAAGACTAGCTTGATAACTGTTGTTGTACGAAAATTCTGCATAGGGTAGATTCTTATCCCAACTTCCACCGAAATCTAAAGCACAAGCTCTCAACATGTCTTCCAAAATCTGATTCACCCTTTCGGTTTGTCCGTCTGTCTGCGGATGGTAAGCAGTACTAAAGTTCAGCTTAGAACCCATCTCTTCCTGAAGTTTCTTCCAAAAATTTGAAGTAAACTGACTGCCTCGATCAGACACTATTTTCTTAGGAACGCCATGCAAACACACAATCCTTGCCATATACAATTCCGCTAAGCGACTTCCGGAATAAGTTGTCTTTACCGGAATGAAATGTGCCACTTTGGTAAGTCTATCGACTATTACCCAAATAGAGTCATGGCCTGATGACGTTCTGGGTAAACCAGTGATAAAATCCATACCGATTTCTTCCCACTTCCATTCAGGAATCTTCAAAGGCTGCAGCAAACCTGCGGGTTTCTGATGTTCTGCCTTGACTCGCTGACAAACATCACATACTGCTACGTATTCTGCGATTTCACGCTTCATACTTGCCCACCAAAATCTTTCCTTGAGATCTTGGTACATCTTGGTACTACCAGGGTGAATGGAGTATAAAGTATCATGAGCTTCTTTCAGAATTGCATCTTTTAAATCTTTGTTGTCGGGAACACAGATTCTCTCACCCAACCATACAGTTCCTTGCTCATCCTCCAAGAAACCGATAGCTTTTCCTCTTCTCATATTCTTCTTGATTTCTTGAATATCAGGATCATTAATTTGGGCTTCTCTAACTTGATCAATTAGAGTGGGCTTCGCTTCTAAGGCTGCAACGAAACCTCTACTGACAATTCCCAAATTTAATCTTTCAAATTCCTTGCATAATTCTAATGGCAATTGTCGTCCTTCCGTAGCATTGCAATAGCCTTTCCTGCTAAGAGCGTCTGCTACAACATTAGCCCTTCCTGGGTGATAATGAATTCCTATGTCATAATCCTTAATTAATTCCAACCATCTCCTTTGTCTCATGTTCAGATCCGGCTGAGTAAAGATATACTTTAAACTCTTGTGATCGGTGTACATCTCTGTACGAGTACCGAAGAGATAATGACGCCAAATCTTCAACGCATGAACTACTGCAGGTAACTCAAGATCATGAGTAGGGTAGTTCTTCTCATACGGACGTAACTGACGAGATGCATAGGCAACCACCTTCCCATCTTGCATCAGTACACAACCTAACCCAAGTTTGGATGCATCACAATACACCTGGAAACCCTTCTTTGGATCAGGCAAAATCAAAATAGGAGCTGATATCAAGCGATTCTTCAACTCTTGAAAACTCTGCTCACATTCTTCCGACCACTTGTACCTCACATCTTTCTGAAGCAGTCGTGTCATAGGCTTAGCAATCTTGGAAAAATTCTCTATAAACCTCCGATAATATCCTGCGAGGCCTAGGAAACTGCGGATCTCTGAAACTGTCTTCGGTTGTTTCCAGTTGGTTACGGATTCCACATTACTAGGATCGACGGCAACTCCACCGGCTGAAATGACGTGACCAAGGAACTTCACTTCAGACAACCAGAATTCACACTTGCTAAACTTAGCATATAGTTCATGTTCTCGTAGCTTCTCCAATGCAAGGCGAAGATGTTCTTCATGCTCTTCTTTGGTTCGAGAGTAGATAAGAATATCATCAATAAAGACCACCACGAACTTGTCTAGGTATTCCATAAACACCTTATTCATCAAGTTCATGAAGAAAGCAGGGGCATTGGTAAGTCCAAAAGACATAACAATACATTCGAACAACCCATACCTAGTGGTAAAAGCTGTCTTAGGTATATCTTCCTCTTTGATTCTTAACTGGTGATACCCTGATCGAAGATCTATCTTGGAGAAAACAGTAGCACCTTTAAGCTGATCAAACAAATCATCAATTCTGGGTAGCGGGTACTTATTCTTGATAGTCACATCATTTAATGCACGATAGTCCACACACATCCTCTGGGTATGATCTTTCTTTTCCACAAAAATAACCGGAGCTCCCCATGGTGATGAACTCGGTCTGATGTATCCTTTCTGAAGCAAATCATCTACTTGCCTCTTGACTTCTGCCAACTCATTGGCTGCCATTCTATAAGGTCTCTTATGGATCGGAGTTGTTCCAGGTACCAAATCTATTCTGAACTCTATATCTCTTTTAGGCGGCATACCAGGTAAATTATCTGGGAACACATCGGGATACTCCCGGACTATAGGAATCTCTTCCAAAGTTATTTGGTTCAGTCTTGACCTTAAAGACTCAGAAGACAATGCATGAACAGTTACAACTCGACCATCATTGCTGGTGAGAGTTACTTTTCTGTTGGCACAGTCTATCACACCTTTATGTCTGGCTAACCAGTCCATCCCTAGGATGACATCAAGGTCTTTGGATTCTAACAGGATAAGATTGGCCAGAAATGGTACGCCTTGAATTTCTATTCTGACAGAGGGGCTACGTTGCAAAGAGAGTGCTTGATTACTTGGGGTACTAACCATCAAAGGACGTCTAAGATCTTCTACTTCCATCCCATGATTTCCCGCAAAACTCATAGATAAGAATGAATGCGTAGCACCAGAATCGAAAAGCACTGTTGCAGGAACTGAGTTAACAAGAAACGTACCCAAAATCACATCTGGAGCATCTTGAGCTTCTGCAGCAGCGACATGATTGACACGGGCCTTTGATGCTGGTACAGCAGAGTTATTCTGGGCAGGGACAACCTTCACGCGTCAGGGCTTCGGACACTTGTCAGCATAATGTCCTGGGTCTCCACAGTTGAAACACACCACGGGCTTGCTGCCTTGCTCCCTCTTGGCAGGTTGTTGCTGTGTTGGAGCTGCAACAGGGCGTGGAGCTTGATTACGGATGTTATTGCCAGCATTGTTGTTGAAGAACTGACGCTGCGGACGAACAACAGATGAAGAACCTCCATGTGGCATGGTCTGGGGTCCTAAAGTAAGACGCGGCTTCTGATTATTCCCCTGTTGTGTCTTGAATTGAGCAATCCGGCGTTTCTTCTGCTCCATGCGGTTGTACTTGTCTTCCAGACGAATAGCCTTATCCACTAACTTCTGGAAATCATGATAATCCCCAGTCATGAGTGGGTAAGAAAGCTCATCATTAAGTCCTTCCAAGAACTTCTCCTGACGCTCTTCATCATTGCGCACATCTTCCGGAGCATAACGAGCCAAACGATTGAACTCGTGCAAATACTCCGTAACAGAGCGAGATCCCTGGGTGAGCGATCTGAATTCCTTCTTCTTGAGAGACACCACTCCCGATGGTATATGCGTCTTCCGGAAAGCAGCGGTGAATTCAAGCCAAGTGATAGGTTCAGCAGTAGTCCTGTTAAGGCGGAAGTGATCCCACCATTCAGAGGCTGGGCCATGCAACTGATGTGATGCAAATGAGACCTTCTCCTGATCAGTGCACTGAAGCAAATCCAACTTCTTCTCTATGGCATGCAGCCAATCGCCAGCTTCAACAGGATTAGTGGTACTAGAGAAAATAGGCGGCCTCACACGAAGAAATTCTGCTAACTTGTTCTGGGGAGGTGCATGGTTATTTCCTTGGTTTTGCTGATTCTGGAGTTGCTGCATCATCATGTTCATTAACTGAGTCTGTTGAACAAGAACTTGGGTAAGTGTGGGATTCTCTCCATTGTTGTTGTTATTGGGGTTGTTGGGGCCATTCCCGTTGCTGCGAGTGTTCACCATCTGGCATGGACAGGGCACAAGAAGAGAAACCGGGGGAAACTACTTAGGACAGAGAATTACTTTAACTTTTATTGATCTTAAGTGAGTTTCATTATTACAAAACTGAAGACTCTTACACCACTAAACTCACCAACTTCCTAACACTCAAAAGCAAACAAACACATGCACTTACATCCCACCACTGATGTAAATCACATGCGAGGCACACACAACCAAACTTAAAACAAGCAAACTAACACAACGATCTAAGACAACGACTTAACAAGTCACTCTAGTTCTTCCGAGCATCGGAGGTCGATTGAAGGTTCGTTCGGCTCGTCTTCATCATCTTGGGTAGCTACCCACTCAATCTTGGAATGGTTGCGCTTGGATTCTTCTTCTTCATCATCACTTATGATGATGACCGGAGGATCTGCTAAGGCTGGGGTAACTTCTTTCTCCACCACACGAACCTTTGGCGCCAATTGATAGCGAGGGACAAATAGAGCTCTCTTCCTTGCGGTAAGACGAATCCTGGCCTTCTGCGGTGGTGCTTCTCCCTTCAATGTGGCTAGTTCCTTCTCCAAACGATCCACCTTGTCTTCTAACTTGCAAATCTTACCACGATTCCGGTCTTCACGATCTTGAGCCGCTAACACAGTCTCCGCACGACTTTCATCCATAGCCCACAGCATCTCAACCAAATGCCTTGTGGTAGCATCATTCTCAATTCCTTCAGTCTCAAGGTAACTGCCACGGTCACTTCCCTGGGGTTGACGAGGATGGTAGCGATACTCAGTGTCGGCCAACTGATCACTATAATGATCGCGGAGCTCTCCTATGGCGATCCTTGCCACCTCCTGACATGCATGGATGTAGTTTCTTCCTCCAGCTTCGAACATTACTGAGGGGATATCTTCACTATTACTGTTCAAGGTGACTTTGACTCGGCACTTCTCTTCGTGACGATCATGAGGAATCTGGGCATAAAAAGGGGCAGTCCCAAATCCAATGACAAAGGACATCGTACACAACTCCTGGACAAAACACTCAACACCAAACAAGTACTCAGGCTTGTAGCGCGGCATCTAAAGACAAGTGAAAGGAGGGAGTTAAGACATTTATCCAATTAATAGCACAAGTTTTTGGATTAATTTGAATAAAGTTAGGAAATCAAAGTAAAAGGTAAGTAAATAAAGTAAACCAAACTTGCAAGATAAGTTGAAACAGTTGGAAACAAAGTTACAATTTTTGTACTTTTGAACAACAGGTTTCAAAAGAAATAAAAGAAAGTTATAAAATCATCATGCTAAATTTATTTTATTGCAGCAAGATTAAATAAAACAACATTGTAAAACTTTTGCTGGTAAATGAGCCATTAGTACAGTAATAGATGTACAGTACTAATAACACTGGAATAAATTTTGAGTGAGAACCATTAAAAGAGATTATGAAAGGCATGTGCCATTAGTTTGGTTTAATTAGAAGAGAAAGGGAGGAGAACAGTTCTACTTTTCCAATCTTTTTAGAGGGCTTCTATGGGTAACCATTTGGCATAACCTAGGGTCAAGGGAGCTCTGATACCAACTTGTCACGCCCGGAATTTCTATCCAAAATTCCAAACGCTTACATGTGTGTGAACCCTCGTCCAGGAATCAGCCGAGGCACACAATAACAAATTGATAATAGAGTACAATTATTACTCTAATTAATAAGCGAATCAAATGTCATTACAGAGGTAGATAGTTCCTCTCATTCAATAAAGATCTAAGCAGCGGAAAATAAGATAAACGGCGCAGACGGCTCCACTCCACGGGCAGCTTGACCAAGGCTACACCTAATCCTCCACACCATCAGCTTCACTGTAGAACTCTTCCTCTGATGAATGATTGCAAGGTGAGTATATGACATACTCAGCAAGCCACGCAGCAAATATGCAAGTGCACAGGATAACAAAGGATGGCATAGTATAGGGCTCATTTGCAAAAGCAGCATTTAGCAAACATTTGAGAATTTAATAAAACAGTTAAGTAATTAAACAATATTAATCCAACGCTATACAACATACCCTGTTGTATAGGCCCAACCATTCTGAACAACCATCCCGGCTGCACAGTTCTATCTCCAAACCAGGAATATACCATTCCAAACCAGGAGCTAATCAAATTATTACCAGTTATAGCATCTTCTATTATGGTGAGAAGGGTGAGACTAATCACGAAAGACATTGTTAGACCCGCCCATAACCACGGGCACGGCTATTCGAATAGTTTTACTCTGATCAGAGGTGTACCACTGTACCCACAAGACACAACCCCACATCATGTCACCATGTGCCTCAATACCACCACGGTACCTCGGAAAGGAGTTGTGACAATACCCCTTGCATAACACAATCCATTACAGCGCACCTTTCCTGGATCATAATCACCCCCTTATAATCAAGGCATGGACTCCCCAGCGACCCCCGTGGGCTTATCTCTGCCACTTCTCAGTCTGGTGCCCCGCAATGAACCATGCTATACAAAAGGTAAAGCCGTTGCCCATGCTGGCTTGTGGCTGGCACGGTTAATGTTTCACAACCGAAACTCGTGAACCGGTCCTTAATTGTCATGAGCACGACCATCAAAACCATGTGCTCACAACCCACCATTATCAGGTTTTAGTTGGCACATTAATTAATTAACCAATCACGATTGACCATCGTGAATTATCATTAAGCCATCATTAAATAACAGTGAGTCATAAGTTATCCCAATAGTGTGCTAATGTTTCTAAGGAGGGCTAAGCAATTATATCTAATATCTAGTTGAACCAATAAATAAAGCTCAACTAGTCAAGTTATAACAACCCAAGGTATCAAGGAATAAGGTAAACAAGAACCAAAAGGGCTATAACAAACAATAGGTTAATTCCACCCAATGACATTCGAAAATAAATGCAATAGTTGAATAGAAACAATAGCTTTAAATAGGATCAACATGCTCAAAGGGTTGTTTGGGATCTGTGTGACTTGCCTTGCTGGCCTTGGAACTCTTCAAACTCTTCTCCGGCGAAAACGGACTCTCCGGAAACGACGGAATCTAAGCAGAAAGAAGCAAAATCACCAAAACAGCACATAAACAAGCATGAACAGTACATGTGGATATTTTTAATATGTAGATCTCAATTTTAGAAAAATTTAGAGACTTGAACCAACTAAATCGGAGCTAAGATGAATTAGTTATGAATTTTTGAAGATTTAATCGGATTAAAACACTTAAATTGATTTTAATTGAATTATGACGCAATAATGAATTATTTTTGAAAAGGAAAAAAGGGATTTATTGCGTCAGCGGGCTAGGGTTTCGGTGGACCGGGCGCACGGGCGACGGTTCACGCGAACGGACGGCCGAGATCAACCCATCCAAAACGGACGGCCGAGATCGATCGGGTCCACGGCGGCTCACGGCAGACGGCCACGATGACGTCAGCGGTGACGTCACCACCGGCGGCGGCGGCTCGGCGGCTCGGACGGCGCACGCTCGCCGGCGAACGGCGGCGCTTCGGCACGAACGGAGGCCACCAACGGGTAGAGCGCGACGCGGCGAACTCACCGGTGACCAAAAGAGCGGCGGAAGATCAACGGACGGCGACGGCGACGACGAAGAAACGGCGGCGGTCTTCGGGTCGACGGCGGCGATGGTGCTCCGGCGATCTTCGGCGACAGCGAAGGGGCGGACGAGGACGGCGATGACTTGGCGACCACGACGACGGTCTTCCCGAGCGACAGCGACGGCTGGAGCGACGGCGGCGCACGGCTGGAGCGACGGCGACGACGGCGGCGTTAGGGCACACGGCGCTAGAGCGTTTCCGACGACGAGAGGCGAAGGCGAGGGTGGCGGCGGGTAGAGGAGACACCGGGGGTCCTTTTAAAGGGGCTAGGAGGCGGCGGCGAAGGCCCACGGCGGCCGGCGACGAGAACGAAAGCTCGAGCTCGGAGAGAGAAAAGCCGATCCGATTCGAACTCGAATCCATCGATTTCCAAACCGATTTAGCCGAAGTTTCCAAAGGAGAAAAGGTAGAGGAGATCTCAAGGATCATTTCCCCTCTTTTGATTCGGCCGGAGAAGGAAAGGAGCGGCCGAATTTGGAAGGGAACGGCGGCGGCGGCGCGCTAGGGTTCGGCCGGGCGACGGCGGCTCGGGGAAGACGAACCTGACAGGCGGGACCCACCTGTCAGCGACAGTGAGGGCGCGCGCGGCTGCGGCGGACTGGGCCGGCTGGGCCGAGGAGAGAGAGAGAGGTTTTGGGCCGACTTTTGGCCCAAAGCCAAAAGAAGACTTTTTAAAACCTTTTTCAATTTAAATTATTTCTTAAATGCAATTCCATTTATTAAAAATACTTCCTTAGCTCAAATAAATCCTAGAAAAATCTAGGAATTATAGAATTAAGCAAAGTATTTAATGAAATTTTATCTGGCCCCATTTTATATTGGAATTTATTAATTAAAAATTAGATCTTCTCTTCAAGACTTTTAAAATTATTTCTAAAAATTCCATTTAAACAACAATTTATATATTTTGAATTTTTAGGGTGTGACAGTACCCGCTCCATGAACTTTAGCCCTCATGCACTCTAGGCGTCATACATTTCTAGCAGTGAGAGGAGTTCTGGCGCTCCTGGGAAAGAGACGTCTCACACATATTAAATTATGATTCAGGTTAAGTTCTCTCTCTCACGCACTCATGGCAGTCCTACCCATGGCGACACCGATGTAGGGCACGCCTCTCGGCCCTACCTCAACGGCTGTCCCACGGTAGCGCACCTGCCTCACTCAGGGGTGAACCATCTATGCAGGGATACTGCCTCCGCTCGGCTATTTAATCTGCTAGGTCTATACCCATACGAGAAGTGCGGTTGTACGGGGGTCGTTTCATGCTTAACTTCATGGCTCGGTCCTTAATTGATCGGGGACGGTACTAGCCTTTCCCAGATACCACCCAAATCCACCGTCTGCCCCAGTCTAAAACAAGTGTTTAATTTCATTCCTACTTTCACAAATCATGTCATCATCATCATGGCAATGTGGCGCTCATGTCTCCACATGCCGCATCTCAATTACCTTCCCAAAGGTAATTTCCCAAGCATATAGCATTTGATAAAATATGAGCGTGCATGAATCTAGAGTAGCATTTCTAAGGATGTGTCATAATTGACTAAGGACTCATACGTAATTATGGTTACATGGATTTAAAGGTAAACAATAATCAAGACATGGCATAATCACAAGTAGGATGTTCATCATTGCATGCAATCTTATTTGTAAACAAAATAATTTCGCAATTGGGATCAACATGTTCAAAGAATAGTGATGACTTGCCTTGCTCGAAGTCCTGCAGGTCTTGACCCTCGCTCGGATCCGCAACTCCCTCAGGCTCTAAAATTACATGCGAAGAAATGATTTGAATTCAATTAGAATTCAAATAAAATCCAAATGACTCACATAAAAGTCGAACGCAAATCGATCTTTCTAAATAGACTACAAAGTTTGCGGAACCACTTTATTCGAATTGTTGGGTCATTTAACCTAAGTCATTTTGGGATTTGGAAGTACATTCATAGAAATTCGACATAATTATTTACTTCTTAAATAAATCTAAATTCCTACCGCGAATCGACCTCTTACAGTGATTACCGAAAATAATTTATAATCACATTAACATTTTACAATTCTAGGCTATAATTAACCTATAATTAAATTCTAATTATTCTAAATTTTCTAAACTTCTTAATCTCCCTCAAATTCCTATTTTATTCCCCCCTTTCTTTTTCTTTTCCTTTCTTTCCTTTTCTTCCTTTTTCTCTCTTTTTCTTTCTCTCTCTCTTTTCTTTCTTTTCTTTCTTTTTTTTTCTCCCCCCCCGGTTTCTTTCTTCCTCCCTCTCTCTCTCGGCTCTTGCTCCCCGGAGGCAACAGCGGCAGAACGAGGGGAGGGCGGCGGCTTACCGACTGCGGCGGCACAACGGCGGCGCGGTGGAGAGGGTAGAGGAGAGGAGGAGGGAATGGGGTGGGGAGAGTGGGGAATGGTGGGGCTTTTATAGGGGAGAGAGGGGGAAAAAGGGGAGAGGGAAGAGAGGGGGGCGGTTAAATGGTGACGCGACGGCGGCGCGAGGCGGCGAGTGGACGGGCGCGCGGCGACGGAACGGGCGACGCGACGGCGGGACGGGGCTCGAGGCGACGACGGCACGCGTGGCGCGGCAGCGGGATGGCGACGGCGACGGCGCGGCAGCGGCGGCGCACGGCTCGGAGCGACGACAGGACGCGACGGCGACGGCGACAGCGACGGCGACAGCGACGGCGACAGCGACGGCGACGGCGACGGCGACGACGCGTGGCGACGCGCGACAGGCGGCAGCGGCGACGCGACGGCGGGCGGCGCGGCGCGGGGCGCGAGGCGATGGGATGGCGGCGCGGCGACGCGACGGACGCGACGGCGACGGGCGGCGATGGCGACGGCACGCGGCGCGGCAGAGGCGACAGGGCGCGACGGTCGCGACGGCGACGGTGGCGCGGGGCTCGGGGCGGCCAGGCGCGCGCGGCAGAGAAGGGGGTAGGGCTAGGGACCTCGTCGAGCACCTAGAGTGCAATAAACAGTGTATTTTCCTATTTATCCCAATTTTAGCCTATTTCCTATATAATTTCTATTCTATAAATCCTAATTTTTGCATAAATGAGGTTTACTCAATATTTATGTTATTCCAACCAATGGATTCACCCAAGATTAATATTACCCATATTTAATTTATTTAATTTATTTGAATTTTTAATTGGGCTAATTTTTGATTCCGTTGCACTAGAATTCAATTGTTACTAATATGGTTGCGATAATATTTTATTTATTTCCAACCAATCCTTCTTCGTGATCTATAAACTTTGAAACCAAATTCCAATGAAATGGGCGAATAAAATCGGCATGATGCAATTTATTTAAAAAGTTTTTGAAGGCCCATGTTTTTAGAGTTTTGATTTTTGTTGGTCGAATTTTCAGGGTGTTACAAGAAACCACCGAGAGGAGGGAACTATATTCGAGATCGTTGGTTGCCGAGCGTACTTTAGATTATTTCATGTCCCATCTTTCTCTTTGACGACTGCCCACTATCACAACATCATCTTCATTGTCTGTATCTTCGACTTGTTCAACATTGGAAGCCTCGGCCGCCATATTTGTTTTCCAACACAGTAATATACCGGCTAACTTGTACCTAAAAAGTTCAATATCTTTCTGCATAGTAAACATAACTTCGTTTAATAGGAAAATTAGATAAAATGTATGATCTAATATTTTGTTATTATGCTAAGAAATTCACTTGTGTAACAGGATGAGAAAATTTATCTCCAGCAAAAAACTCCATAAATTTGAGCATGAAGAGCCCACAAGAAGAACTACAATTTTGTAAACATTAATTAAAAATAAAACAAGAATGCACCAGTAAAAAATATATCATGTATCTTATTTTAATATTCCAAGAGATATGATTTGTAGTATACCCATCTAGTTGAATTTTGACTTGTAATTGTTCTATGATCAGCCATGTCACGACATTTAGATCTATCCATTCATGGCTAGGTAAGTCCTGCCGCCGTGTAATGATATCAAGATGTTTTTGTACTCCTTGTATCTATTCAATTATTACATTTGCGATTAGCAATAGAAAAATGAATTGCAATCTAAATAAACAAAAGATTGAATATGCCATATACACTTACCGCTATATGGAGGTCAACACGATCGAAGTCCTCACAGAGAGAATCAAGTACATGTATCACTTTTTTTTGGGGGTTGAGAATAGCTAAATACCAATGAATATTTCCTCTATTTATTGGTAGAAAAATCTAAACAAGTCATCGAATTAGTACACAATAATGCATATAATAACAAACTTAAATCCTATTAAATTTAGAGAGCCAAACTTTACCAGTTCATGAAAAAGATAGTTCTTCACTATATTTGTAATAAAGTTGTCTATATGTTCATCTATTATGTAGACCGCATCTCGTTGTAACATGGCAATGATAAAGGGGTTTTCATAATACACTTTCTTATCGGTCTTTGATTGCGCCTCCTTTATTCAGTGTATGTACGCACTGATGACCTATAGATTCAATTTAAAATATTTAGGAACTTGACAATTAAATAAATATTAACGTTGTATACTCATGTGCAGTTGTACTTACGTCGTCGTTCACCCATTCATCTTTAGTGAGAAGGCACGATAGGTGATGTTTTTTGACAGAAAAACCTCCCATGTTCACCAGCGTCTCATTTTCAGATGATACCAGAATAATGTCTTGAGCAGTAACATCCTGGTTGGTTAATACATAATCTGTAAAATAAAAAGGGAGAAAGGGATTACTGATGACAAAAAGTTATAGATAGATGATACTAAACACATGTCATACAATAACGTACCTTGAGGGAGGTAGTCGTAAGTCTGGCCAATTATAGATCGTATCAAGTTCGATGGTACGCCATTATTGGGCATGCTGACTTTGGATCCTACATGCTCCCCTGACTCCTTATCCTATAATAATGGTGTATTATACTAAACAATATTATGCTAAACAAATGAAATGAAATATTGACTAAGAGGGTCAATCAATTTGTGCAACACGCTCATAGAGTTTTAAATGAAGTGGAATAACCTGCAATGGTTCTTCTGGTTCTGTTCCTTCTACACAATTAAACAATGAAAGTATTTATAAGTGGCCATTGAGAGGAGCGTATGATAATAATGACAATAGTAGTGAAAGAGGGAATACTTGTTCTAAATGGTTATCAGAACACACTGGAAATTTTTTATGGGCTTACTGTTCCACACTGCATTCCTTCACAATTGAAGTTTGCCATCTCTTATGGCACTCTTTTAGCTTGATAATCTGAAAAAATATATGACTAAATCTATAGTTTCCTTTTATCCAGGAGGAGATTTGGCTTTTCAGTATGCTTCAGTAAGGATTTAGCAGATGGCAATCTTTGCTGGTATGTAGAGTATTTCATTAGGCTAATCGCCTATTTGTTGATGATCATAATTGGCACATAAATTGATAAATTTGTATTGATGATTCTACTCATTTTAAATGTTATATGGTAGCATCCTTTGTTTGATAAGGAAAAATCAGTGTTCTTTGCATATTCAATTAGAGAAGAGCATGAATACTGTTGTTACTCTAGGAAGAATGCTTATATTATGAAAGGAGCGCTAACATTGCGTTGAGAAAACAACAGGTGATGTTATCTTTTTCTGACTTCCTTATATTGCAGTCCGTTAGCAAGGAGCATCAAGAGTTCCTCGGCCTTGTCGACAAAGAGGTATAATGTGAACTTGTAAATTGATATTAGAGTGACAATTATTCATGCAGTTATCTTCCATTTTTATTGCAAATACTTGGGAGGGCTCAATAACTCTTGGTCTTTGTTGAATGCAGATTGAATTATATTATATACTAATGGAATTCTGCCGGCGGTGTGAGGCCCACTCAGAGTAGGAGTTGGAGGGTGCAGAACTGTGTTTGCATTGCCAATGAGAGGAGGAAGACCGCCTCAAAGAGCCTTGTCCCCATCCACCAACATGGCCATGATAATCGTTGACATCGACCAAGATCTCTCCAGAGTAAGTAGAACAGCACTAAAATTAGGATTAGCATTTCTAGACACCATGTTATTTCAGAAATTGATTAGTTGGAATCTTGTATTCATTTTGCTAGCCTGAGTGCCTAACTTAGTGGAAATATATTGGAAAAGTTTCTCCATGGCAGATCGAGGCTGTTATTTCCTGTAGATTTAGATTTCACTGTAAATACTGAACAATTATTGCAATTTTCTATTTGTATTGAGTACTTGGGTGGTTCTTTCTATCAACCAAATCAATTTTTATTCATCAGTGTAGACTCTTTGAACTGCAATTGTTGTGCTGCTGATATGTGTTATGTAGGCTGCAGCAGAAGGTCAATTTTCCATTTTGTGAGGTGCCATAACTTTGAAAATATGTTAATTTTGTCAATTGCTTGATATTAAGTGGAGTATCTCCTTTGTATGCACCAACCAATTTTGGAGCTCCAGACAATGAAACGATAGCTTCATCATATCCATGAAAAAGTGCTATTGGATGAATCCAATAAAGATGTGTTTTCTCTGGCATGTTGAATATTGAAGTGTGCTGATGACTTTGTAATTACTAATAATGATGCAATGCATAAATTCTATGGCCGGTTCTGTTACTTCTTTTTATTTGGATGTAATTTGCTTGAAAGATTTTTGATGTGGCTAAACGAGAAAATTTTTTAAGGCATTTGGTTTCTCAGGAGTTTAGGAGTTGGAACCATGCAAACATGCCTCATGCTAATGTCTTCCTGAGCTTTCAGAAATCGAAGTTATTTCTAGCTTAAGATGATGTTGGAGCTGATCCTGGTGCTGTTAGAGAGGCCAATCTATTCAGGTCCAGCAGTTTACATCAAGATGATGTTCTTTCTAGCGATGCATGTAGTGACCATTGATGTTTCGATTGCTTGAGGCGACCCTCTTTGTAATTGTGAAAAATGTGGTGTTATGAAACAAAAATATAGATTTACATCCAGGAGATAAAATTATTTTATTTTGTATTTTAGAGTAACACGGTATAGCTACTGGTGCTATCCATCTCTGGACCTGATTTTTTTTCTGCATGATTTAAAATTTGTTATTTAAACTGAACTTTTTTTCATGACTTTAAAATTTATCTCATTTTATACTTTCAAGATATATAAAATATTTTGATTTTTTTTTAATTTTGCATTATCAAATATTGTCGTAGCGTTAGCACGTGCATCGAACTGAGAAACTTGTCCAAGTTCACATCATCAGCAACAATTAGTTCAGTCAAATGATACATGCATATGGATCCAGTGAATCAAACTGAGAAACTTGTCCAAGTGCTGTTGAAACGCCTCTAATCCATGCACATCGCTCTTAATCAGTAGTCTACTGTCTCATTCTCACACAAAATTGAAACCCAAAAACAATTACAGGCACTGTTGGTATTTCTTAACAACATTAATAGAAATATTCATTTCTAGCAATGGCACAGAAATAGTCCTGATATATTTATGGTTACAGAAGTAATCCGCAAGCGCATGGATATACCATTGTAGCATTTCACCCGGAAGTATTCGAAGGTATCATATTTATTTAATCCCAAGGGAAGATTGTAAAAGAGAGAACCATGCTAATATATACATACATATATTACTTGCTTTAATCAAAATCTAAGTAGAGGTTAATTTAATATAAGGATGGAGTGACACGAAGCGAAGCCTTTGGATTTCCTCAAATAAATAATTCTAACTGAGTGGAAGAAGAGATAGGAAGAACTCATTTCCTATACTTCTAATATACACTCAAACTCTAGTCTACATTTGCTAGTATACAATTATGTGGCAAATACCCCCTAACAGTGCCCTCCTGGTGTTTCGAGAGACCACCCTTGGTTGCTGAGTTTCTTATGACAACCTGTCATGGCTGTCCAACCGGGGCTAAATACGGAGGAGTACCCTCCCTAGGAATTTGTATTAGGAATATATACTAACGTGGAAGAATACCCGTACTGAGCTATCACCATCAGCAGCCCACCTCTACTATCCCGCAGCATATATGCCCAGATAGTGATATTTAGTAATCTAAGCACCATGCTTACATTAATAAATACTACTCCTCTGCAGATGATATAGAGCAACCGATAACTCGGACACTAAACCCACACCATTGCACCTCTCTGGTAGGCTACCCACACAATTGTGACTACACAAATATAAAATAAGAGCAGCACTCAGACTAAGTAAAGTACCGAGAATATAAGAAGAAGAGTATCTTTATTATTTCCGAGAGTCTTACAGAAGAAAATAAGAAAGCTACTAAAGCCATACCGAAATTCTTCTGGAAGCTCCGAGGACTGCGAGAACTATTCTATACTACTCCACTTAGTACTAAAACTACTAAAATAAAGTATGAAGAGGAATCTTGAGCTTGCCTGAGTGTTTTGAGAGTGAAATGGGCTCCTCCTTTTATAGGGTCAGCATGACGATGGTAGGAAAGGCGAAATGACCTTCCTACCCCACAACCGTCATTGAGAGTGCATCCTGGACGTCCACATGGAGGGCCAGGCTGATTGGGGGCCACCAGGGTTCGGCCCCTGGGCTAGCCCAGCAGGCCTCCAGCTTCGGGCATGGTACAGACAGGTGGGTCCTCTAGTCGATTGTGACAGTTAAGGTGGTTTCTGGACGGTTACACCTAACATGTGGGCCCTCCTTATCCATATGCTTGCTTAGGAGTGAGTTCTCCTCATTTCTTCATTATTTATTTGCTCAATTCATGCAACATTATTCTCCAAGTATAAGTGGAACTATATTATTCTAAAACAAATATGCATTATAAGCATAGCTAATTCTCCTTTAATGTAGATATATTGGCGGTCAAAATTGGCCTATAATGACCGTCAACAAGCACATCATCAGGAATTCAATAGCAGTATAGTTACCAAAGTTAAGAGCACATACAAGTAACCAAAACATCTTTGCGCAAAAAGACTAGTTTTATACCCAAAAAAAACATACAAATAAGTGAATCCATTCATGGTACTACTATCGTGGCTAACAAGGCAAATAGCACTACAGTAACCAAAGTTAAGAACATGGAGTACAGGTTAAACGAAAGATGTCAGTGCTGATTTATTACCTTTAGCTAGGCCCAGAACAAGATGAGTACCCGCTGATGTCTGCCCACACGGAATCAGATGTGTTTTCCGCCGTTTCAGAATCCATGTTTGCTACATACTGGTCACACATGTACACCTCATCTCCCCTGGAATGTAGAAAAAATAAAACCTTTTCAACGAAATGTACCAAGAGAAATAGATTGGTGCGGAATAGAGTTGCTTACAATGCATCTTGGTCAGCAGTATTTTGTGCTATCCGGCAGAACATCCATAGAACTTGGGACGGGGTCCAGATCAATAGGACTGTAAAGGTAACACAATCTCTGAGGAAGGGGGTAAACAAACCTGAAAAATAAAACCCCAGGAAAAAAACTAGAAAACTCACGATGCTGGTAAAAATTCATCAGGAGAAAGTGTTGAGCTCTGTCCCGGAGGGTATGGGCATTTCCCTACTCCTTGGAAATAACATGCGCCTTCCAAGCTGGTTGATGGAGAGAAAAAATCAGAGCATTTTCGTAAAAAAAAAAAAAAAGCACGGATCGATAGAGGGTAGGGGCGACGAAGGACTGTTTGTTGCAACTGCAAGTCTGCAACACTATAGATTAGTAAAGACTAACCTTCCCAGACCAGGATCCACGGGGCTGCATATTAGCCATCAACTGTAAGAAGGACCGAGTAGGACGTAAATCCTCCATGGGAGAAATAGCGAGGAACACAACAAGAACAAGCCAGATCTGCCCTACTATGGAAGAAAATGCAGAGATGGTGCTGAGCAGCAGAGAGACATGGGTGGGATGCTAGAGAAGAGCCCGTGACCTGTCCGGAAGCAGACTTGGACGGGAAAAAAAGGCATAGGTAGCTTTTCCTCCCTCGATAGGGGGCTTTTGCGAATTTAAAAAGTACAATCCGTACTATACGGGGATTGAAATGTATATGTATATCGCAGTATACGGCCAAATTATCACGAAATACTGCCTGTTGTGCGCGCGAATCTTGGCGACATGATCAACGGCAGATAGTGTACGTGGACATCCACCTATGCGATCAGAATCCGCCCTCAATGGCACATACCTAATACAATATATTGAATACCAGTTAATAGAACAACTCAAAAAAAATGTAAACAACATATTTTCAACAAAAGAGTAAAATATTTTTATAAGTGTCAACAACATAACTTCTAGATCTATATTTGGTAACTAGTGTATGTTACACACTTTTTACATAAAACAGTTAAAAGAAATCACCACAAAATATCAAACAAGAAGAAAATAGAAAAGAGATTTGTCCTAAATAAAGCTATGGTTAAATCTAGTGTGTCAAACTCCAAAAACGCACATCTATTTTTTTTGTTGCACTAAATGTCTTAACACAATCAGAAATGGTGCTCACGCATGTGTAGAAATGTGGGATTGGTTACGCTATATTTCTATTATTTTGCACCTATACCTCAATTGAATTTGTCCAGCATTAGAGAGTAAATGTTGCACGCATGCCTAGCTTTCTAATAACATAGCCACTCCATCCTATCCCTCTGTCCATTCTACCATCTCGCACAATGCCACCATTCACCTCACAACCTTCTTCTTCCCCACCCTAGGTGCACACACACAATGGCTAAAAACCAATATGCAGACTCAATTCGACACGATGTTATAACAATTTATTTGCATGGGCTTGAAGATAAGGCATTAGTCATTTTGCATTCCCTACCCCTTCCATAGCCACCATAGTGAAAATCTAGTAAGAGGAAGAGTCGAAGGCACCTTAGTGTGCGCAAGGGACGTTGATACTTTCAGTTGTTTTCTGTAAGGTAACCGAGTTACTTTGATGACACCTCCCCTAGTGACAATGGACAGATCTGGTTGCAAAAAGAGAGAAGGCCAACCAAATCTATTCAATATTATAAATGGTAGATTTCAATGCTTATATTTGGAAATACAAGATATCTATCGTCATCATGTGCTTATGTAGATCACATACATGCATCTTGCCCACTGGAATGAAATGATTCCCACAGACCGGTTTACTCATATTGGTAAAGCCACTTGGACTGTTGGACATACCATGACCTTGCACATTACAATTTGTTGAATATATGAATACACATATACATATGTCAATATATTTTTCCAAGAAAAGATAAATCATACAGATATCCAATAAAAATGTGCTTGTTATATCAAAGCCATTGTGTCATATATGGACACCTACGACAAAATTGTATTTCCTGAAAATCACTCACTCTTCACTAATATGACAATTAATCTGATACTAACACTCTAATCATTTTTCCAATTTCAAGTAGTACTAAACCTGGGCCAAACCATATGCATTAATATAAATTAAAATCATCCATTTTGTCCCCCAGATACTGGAAGTATATACATCTGGTCTATGAGATATAAAGTTATCAACCTTTGTTTTGCTCCAAACTGATATCCTGTCAAGTTCTCTTTCCATTGTTCCTCGTTCTCCTGTTGACTAAATTATTGGACTTTTTTTCAACAACTTCCACTTCATCAGGTACATCCTTGGTAGCCATGGCTAGAGTTTTTTAGTTCCTCTTCTAACCCTAGATCAGGAAAATTTGAGGATTCTAGCTTGGAATGATCAACATGACCATTCTTTGTTGTCCCGACAAAACTATCTTGTTGTTTCACCTGAGAAAACGAAATTGAGGAATCAAATTCAAATTCATCGATCCAAAAAAGTTTGGATCACTATGTTAATAAGCTCACTATCAGTCATCGATATGGTGTAGCTAGAATTTTGACATGAATGATCTAAATCTGATCAGTTGGAATAGATCAGTTGGAATAGGGGAAGAGGAAACGAGAGATAAAGAAAAGGTTGAGTAATTTTTCTGTATTATGTGTTATGAATCAATATATATAGACTCTTATCCATGATAAGGATGAAAGTATATTAGTGTGATTATGTGTACTATCAAATACACGGGTGGCTTTAATAAAATTGGCCGTCGTTCCGTCACCGGCATGACGAGAAATAACCACAAGCGGCTCATGGCTTACATGAAAACGGTGTGCTGATTATATCCATAAATCTGTGTTCGGTTTTGTGAGCCAACGGTTAGTAAGATGAGTATGGGCTGTGGGCTAACAACTCCTCTACACAACCGCATAAATTGGCCCCTTTCATTTTTAATCCGTTTCCGAAGGTAAGTAGTGAAGCAAAAAGTGCTCGCATTTCCGGAATATATTTTGCTTTTGAAGTGCTCCCTCGCGTTTGGGTTGGGGGATTGAGGGAAAGTTGTGAGATCAGCGGCGATAGCGAAGATGGCATCAAATTTCTCTCTCCCAAAGATGATGCTGGTACAGATCGCCGAGGTACAACACACCTACAACCTCACCCCCTGCCACCAACCTATGCACGGAGGACATCGCCAGCCCGCGGCCTAACCTCATGCCTCTATCTCCGCCTTTATATATATATATATATATATATATATATATATATATATATATATATATATATATATATATATATATATATATATATATAGGACACTCATATGGGGCACCATGGTGCCCGGGCACCATGATATCAAATACACAAAATCACTCAAATTTTTCAAAATTTTCAAATTGTGAGTATATACCTAGTTATAATAACTCGATTCATACCTATACCTATCAACAAAACAACTCAAATTTAACTTTATTTCACAATCCATGATTACATACCTAACTAATTATATGTATGGATGCTATATACCTAGAATCAAAATCTAACAAAAACAAGTTCAAATTCAGTTCAAACTTGCTTTGAACTAGTTAGTAAAGTAGCTAATGTTAATATCTAAGTAATTGAAAAAGTTTCATACTCATTTGAATTAGGTATATACTCAATTTTAACAATGGTGCCCGGGCACCATGGAGCACCAAACAAATTTACTATATATATATATATATATATATATATATATATAGAGAGAGAGAGAGAGAGAGAGAGAGAAAGAGTTTCTAATCTTTGTTTTACTTCCACTGTTACCTCGTTGTCTTGTTGACAAAATTATTGGATTTTGTTTCAACAACTTCCACTTCCTCAGGTACATCATTGGTAGGCAGTTCCAGAGCTTGCAATTCCTATGGTACATCTTTATTTCCAGGATCAAGAAACTTTGAAGATTCTAGCTCTGAATGATCAACATGATCATCCTTTGTTGTCCCTAAAAAACTATATTGTTGTTTTCCCTGAGCAAACACAATTGAGGAATCAAATTCAAATTCATCGATCCGAAAAAGTTTGGATCACTATGATAATAAGCTCACTATCAGTCATCGATATGGTTTAACTAGAATTTCTACACGAGTGACCTACCTTCTTATGCCCACTCGATTCCTTTGTTTCCTCTGGTAAGTTGCTATCGACCAAGGTGTTTTTACCCACTGCTTCCCTCTAAATCAGTTCTGTTGGAATAGAGGAAGAGGAAAGGAGAGATGAAGAAAAAGTTGAGTGATTTTTGTCTTATGAGTTATGAATCGATATATATAGACATGTGCGTGATAAGGATCAAAGCAGATTAACTAGCATGATTATGTGTACTATCAAAACCACAGGCGGCTCATGGCTTACATGAAAACGGTATGCCAATGAAATCCATTAATCTGTGTCTGGTTTTGTGAGCCAACGGTTGGATTGTAGCATTATCATAAAATGGCCCGTCAGCCTGGCAGTTGTTAGCACCAAATCCAGCACACCTCTCGCTCCATAACTTTCATACTATCCTTGCTCTCACAAAATCTAGATGACACAATGCAAGTAGCTATACCTTATATTTACCAAATATGCTCCACATATAGTTACCTCTCCAACACTGTTGGCTAAAAATGTTTTACCCATTTTTAGCACAATATATCTAAATAGGTTATGTCACTAATATTAATATAAGTATTTTATAGTTATGAATATGTGTATTCTACAAAAACACATATCGTTTAGTAAAAAGTTTGCACAGAGTATTTCCATAGCATTGATATTTTTTTTAAAAAAAAAATCATGTAGACTAGGCAGCCGACGATGTGTCTGTAACCACATCTAGGCATGCGTGCGGTGGCGGCACAACAGAGGAGATGATCGCGTACCCTTTACAGTGCTGCCCATCCGCATTACAGCTTCCACGGGGAATGAGCTGTACTCTGCATGTCTGCGGAAACCACTCAGGATGATGTGGGAGGAAGGCTTTGCCACCAGATCATTATATCACCACCACCATCCATATGCCTAGACCCAATCTCGGTGATCCCACAAGTGCCTAAGCCTATTATTGCTTGTTTACATTAAAGTAAGATCACAAAATATTATTTGTATCGAGAACAACAAACTTGTGTATTGATTAGTTCAAATTTCACACTGAGTTAAGTACCACTAAGTAAACTGCATACAAAAAATTTTAAATTATTTTACTCTTTTAGCATTAAAGTTATGGTTTAAATGTCTAGTTTATTCGACATTAATCGAATTGTTAATGGCCAGTGTAGTTTGTTTCAACTATAAGTTTGTTAAATATATTTAGTTCAAATATTAGCATGCTACTTAAAAACTTAATGATACAAATAAGATTCATTACATAAAAACAGCAAAAGCTGATTTCATACATACCATGACCTTGCACATTACAATCAGAGGATTTCTGCATATGAGTACACATATAAATATGTCAATATATTTTTCAAAAAAAAGATAAATCAAAGAGTTATTCTCTATATAGTCATTATATATTCAATTAAAAAAGTTATTGCTATATGAAAGGCACTGTGTCACACGTGGATACTTACAAGAAAATTGGCATTTTCTGAACATCTCTCACACTTTTTATATAGTAATGAACCTTGGCCAAACCAAA